CCCCCGCCCCCGGCAGTGTTTGGAGCACATCAGTTATTGTCTAAAAGCTTTCTGCCTGGCTTGGCTGCTCTTTTCCTTATTCTCCGACTAGAGTGCAGGCTTTTCTTGGGGCTTTCTTGGGTCACACCTGTTGCTATTTCCAAGTTGCCAGTTTCTTCAGCTCCAAGTCTAAGATACATGAGGCAAAAAGAAAACTCAAGGAACTCCCTACCATGTGGTTCCTCAGGTCCCAAGGTCCTTAGCCTGTCCGCCTTCTTCTGTCCACCTTTCAGTCTTCTTATATTTGTTTTTATATGTAATGTCCAGGGTTTTTAGTTGTGCGTGGCAGGAAGCATAGGAAAAAGAATGTCTACTCCGTCTTACTGGAAGCAGAAGTCTTTTAAAATTAAAGTTGTCAGAGAATTTTATTGTATGTGAACAGCTGAAGTATTTAAGAGAATTTCAGTTTCCTTATATTCATAAGTGCAGTTTGTTAGACTTATAAGAATAACTTAGTTCCTTGTTAAGGTTTTGTTTCCAAAAAACCAGATCAGGGAATCTGTTATTTTAATAACATATATAATTTTTTAAAAAAACAAAGTAAATGCATATAGCCTTTTTTGTCCATAAAAGCTACCCCGTTTTTGTCTATAAAAGTGAGGTGGGGGACACATATTTACTAGGAGTTGGGCTAATAATAATAAACATATTCCCAAACTCTGTTCTGTGAAAACTTGACTCTATTAGGCTCTTTGGTTGCAAGTAACAGAAACTAGCTCGTAAGCAAAAAAGATTGTGGGACTGCTTCCGGAATAGAAAGAAGAGCTGGAGAAGCCAGCTTCAGAAGGTCAGGAACCAGGAAGGCTCCAGGGGTCTGACTTGGCTAAACCTCACCTCGGGCAGGAGTGAACCAGCCTTGTTCTGCCTTTGTGTTTCTCAGTCCAGGATTTGGACCCCAGAAAGAGAGCTTCTGACCTTCCTGGCTTGGATCAAGCGTAGGTCACAGGCCCATCCTTGTCTAGGAGAGGAGACTGGAGCCCTTTTTTTTTTTTTTTTTTTTTTTTTTGCAGTACGCGGACCTCTCACTGCCGCGGCCTCTCCCGTTGCGGAACACAGGCTCCGGACGCGCAGGCTCAGCGGCCATGGTTCACGGGCCCAGCCGCTCCGCGGCATGTGGGATCCTCCCGGACCGGGGCACGAACCTGCGTCC